ATGTTATTTTTATCAATTTATATACTTTAATTAATTTTATTCTCAAGCTATGAGTCTTATGCCTTACCTTTTTGGGCCATTATAGCATTATGCCTTAACTATGCCTTTGGCCTTTTAAAACCTTGTGCATATATTGTCATCGGCATCAGATCACCAAGGACAAATCTCAATCTATGCTTGAAGAGTTGAAATTCCTGTGTTGAGACAGATATGAGAGCAAGCCCTTCTGTAGTTTTGTTCTTCAAAGGGTTTAGGGTCATTGTTAAAGTTTTTTTTTTCTTTTGTTTCTTTTTCAATGGGTGGATTGATATGAAATTGATTAATCAATTTGCTTTATTTTTGTTTCAATGGCACCATTTTTTTTGAGGTTTAAATTTATGTAAAATTGAACATGTATTTAGTCATCTGTGCAATTTGTTCACACCTGTTGAGTTGATTTCTTTAGTGAAATTTAGGGTTCAGTCCGCCCCTAATTTTTTATTTCCTTGTCAAATCAATTTTAACTAAGGCTGCAACTTGGGCCGGGTTGGCCCGAACCCAACCCGAAAATGTTAGATTGGATTGGGTCGAGTTGATGTTCGGGTTAGGGTTAGGGTTGAAATTCATGAATGTGACTTTACTTCGGGTTGAGTTAGGGTTGACCCCTTAGCCAACCTGACCCAACCCGAACCTGACTCTATAGTACATGTCCTATATAAATATATGTTATATGTAATATATAACATACATTGATTTGTTTAGATGCATGATATTTCATATTTGTATAGCCCCCACCACATAGTATTATGTATTTCTTTTAAGATAATCACTTGACTTAATCCTAATCAAAAAGACTAAAACCATAATAACATTATTTTATGTTTTTTGAAAATTTTATTCTTCATCTCCTCTATGTTGTTTGCCGCCCAAGAAAGATCTATCGTAATCCATAACTCAAAATAAAGTATAATCATTTCTAACACTTATTTTTCTGAATTTTGTACTAAAAGAACAAAAAAATAATGTCAACAAACAAATACTAATGAAACACGTAGTGAAAGTTGAATAAAGATCTAAAATCGAAAAATTCTATGAGATTTTAAAGGATGGAAAGAAAGTTGGGTTGGGCCCAACCCGAGTCCAACCCAGCCCAAAGTTGACTTCGGGTTGGGTTGAGTTGGGTTAGGGTCGAAGGAATTTAGTTAGGATTAAAGTAAGGGTTAGGTCGATCGGGTTAAAAGTCGGATTGAGTTAAGGTTAAGGTTGGGGTTTAGAACTTAGGATTGGACTAGGGTTGGCCTCAACCTGACCTAGCCTGGCCCAACTTGCAGCCCTAATTTTAACTGGATATCCTTAAAGAATTGAATCGAATTTGAATACATAACATAAATGTATTTGGATTTTGGAAATCATGTAATTTCTTATCAAATCGACTCAGATCATACGGAATTTTTATCAATTAGCATCCCTATTACCAGGAATGCGTGTCAAGAAAACAAGACTTGTATAACCAATTTAATAGATATGGTGTAAACATAATATCTTTTTTTTTTTTTTCTAAATTCTAGCTATTGAGTTTGAGGCCAGTACATCCTTATACGACCTAACTCTGAGTCCGAGCAACCAGTATACCTCATCCTCTTGAGCTGTTCGATTAACCATGGTTTTCAAAACTGGACCGGACCAGACGGTCACACCAGAAAAACCAGGAACCGGTCACCTGATCGGTTCCGTTTTCCCCCAAACCCACTTTTTCCCCCAAAATCATTCATTTTGGTCAGCAAACCGCTGAACCGGCCGGTTAACCGTTCGAATGGTTTTGAGTTTGAGGCTAGTACATCCTTATACRACCTAACTCTGAGTCCGAGCAACCAGTATACCTCATCCTCTTGAGCTGTTTGATTAACCACGGCTTTCAAAATTGGACCAGACCGGATGGTCAGACCAGAAAAACCAAGAACCGGCCACCTAACCAGTTCCATTTTCCCCCAAAACCATTCATTTTGGTCAGCAAACCGCTGAACCAGCTGGTTAACTGTTCAAACGGTTTTGACCGTTTTCCAATTTTTTTTAATTTTTTGTCAGAACAGGCCGGCCATTTGGGTCAAACAGTCGGACCGTTGAACCGGTAACCAGACCCTTGACCGGTTCGTTTTTAAAAACCATGCGATTAACCCGTCTATTAACGTGTTTAAACACAATATGATCAACATATAAACAAGAGTCCATACGATCCAAAATACCTAGAAAACCAAGGAACATATCTTTTTTCGTGAGTATCCGATTCCATACCTTAATTCCTTAATAGTTACGAGTGTCCGATTCTCATTTTTTTCGTTTTCTTTTTGGGGGGGGTGGGGGGGGAATTGAGAGTCCCACTCCAGCACTCTTCGAACCTTCACTCTTAGCACAAAAAAACAGCAAAACAAATTTCTAAGAGTTCTGTTTCTCTGGCTCCTTCGACAATGTTACCTAGTCCACCTGCAGCCAAAGAAAATAGTCCATATCAGTTCTGACTACAAAACCATATGATCCTATTTTACTTGTTACAAACTTACAGTACCTCCTAGCTCCCAGGGTTCAAAGTATCTGATACATATCATACCATAACGGATATGCTATATACTAGGATATAGGGGCTGGGGGCTTCTATAATTCAAACATAAGAACTCCCAAGACATTTATTTTTGAAATACTGAACTGAAAAATTATTAAAAAAATGTGAGTTTTGCTGTTTAAAAACTCATGATATCAATACCTTGAACCATAACTACCTCCTTAGTAATTTATTTACATGAAATCTTTTGAAGGCAACTCCCAAAGGTTATCCTGCACATGACTCACTTGGCTCCCCATTAACCATTTTATTATCATAGATTAGCAGATTTAACTACACTATAATAATAATGATATGTGCTAAAGAACCAATTCAGTTGTTTTTTCAAAAATTATTTCATTTCTAGTTAACCATATGTAATAGCATAATATAGCAACTACGATACCAAAAAAAAGCATGATACCCAAAAAACTAATAAACAATCAACCCGCATGATAAAAATGGTAACCAATCAGATGGTATCCATCAAAATTCATGGGGGCATCTAATTGGTCAAAGATATTGGCACTAGGAATTCTACAGAGAAATTTTACAGTGGTGAACATACAGCAAGCCCAAAAAGAGCAATATAAGCTACCAGGTTGCAAGTAGGCTCCTTTAACAAATTCAGGACCCTCCAGCAGATTGATTCAAGACTCTTAAATAATTCTCTGACTTTTTGTCTTCTTTGGTTGATCTTCAGCGTTCAAAGATAATCCTGCATTATCAAGTATCCCAGTACAATGCTCCTGCATTTTGCTTCTATCATCCTTTTGTTTCTGCTTCTTGATACTCCTGCAGACATTTTGTTTGTTAGTATAACAGTAAAAAATTCATGAACTGCAGCATGGTGAATTTATATTTTGCTACATTCAACAAGGAGYTCTCCAATGTCTAGGGCCTTCAGTTCAACATACACAGTAAAAATATAAAATATAAAATCAAAAACAGAATACATTGAAATAGGCGTAAGAGTGTCAAACCTTTCTACTATTGAACCTTCTTCCACGTGTTTATGCAACCATTTGGTGCTTCCAGTGTTTTCTGGAATAAGGGATCCAGATATATGGAGTATTTCTTCATCAAAGCTACCACGATGGAAAAAGAGTCATGCCAAATTACTACTAAAAATGAAATTTCAAAGCTTCATTGAATTCAGGAAACTAAGCTAGATCAGAATGATTAAAAAGCAGATAGCAAAAAAGGTACCAAAAATATTGCAGCTACAATCATTAAAAAAAACTGTACAAATAATAATGGAATTTTAACATCAAATATTTTTATAAATACTTTATCATCAAAGTCACCAATGTTTTATCCGAAAACAGTAAACTGAATTCTTGATATGTTGACCAGTTTACTAAAGCAATTTATTTTTGAAATAATAATAATAATAAGGTAGGTCGACAAGGGGAGCATGGTAGGGATGCCCCCAAGTTCAGCAGCAGGTCGGCCGAACCTTCCCCGAGTCCAGTTTGGGGAACTATCCATGTAATAGTGGGAGGTTCGGTGGTAGCAAGTTGTACTTCGGTAGCGGCCCGGGCGTCAGTTCGCGAAGCTGCCCGAGAAGAGCAAAACCCTCYGAAGAGGTTGAAGACGGAGGAACCGATTTCCTTCACGGAAAACGATGCACGAGGGGTCCACTACCCCCACGATGATGCGCTTGTCATAAAACTGAGAATCAGCGACTTCGAAGTCATGCGCATACTTTATGATTCAGGCAGCTCGACAGACATTCTCTTCAATTCGGCGTTTGACCAGCTTCAGCTGCAGAAAAGTGAGTTGAACCCCGCGAACACTCCTCTGGTGGGATTTAGCAGAGAGGAAGTTAGGCCCCTCGGGAAAATAACAGTACCTGTGGAAGTCGGCACATGGCCCTGTGCGGTCAGACTCAACCACGATTTCCTGGTGGTCGCAACCCCCTCCCCATACAATGCCATAATAGGGCGGCCAATCTAATTATGTCTCAGTCTTATTATGGTTCAATCTTAAGGTAGAAGACATTGAACAATATTTTGTTTTTAAGGATAGTTTTGATATTTTGAAAAATTTTAAGTTGTACATGTCATCACATGATAAGATAACTGATGAACTGTTGTAGAGACTAATTTGACACTTTGTAAAAGTTTAGGTACTGCAGTGATACATTTGAAAGTTTGGGTACTAACTTAACATTACCCCCAAAGTTGAGAGTATTGAAGTGGAATTTTCCTTATATAATAATCATCTCAACTACATTTTTAGCCATAAAACAAGGAAGTCTATAAATTTTCTCATTTTTTTAATTTCATGTCATTTTTGAAACAACCAATGAGTTCCCAATAACCTAAATAATCTCTTTTCCTAAACTACCTCCCCCACTATCCTTCACTTAGTCACTTTTCCCAAAATTATCTCTAATTCCTATTTATCCTCTCCCCTAGTTTTAATTTATATCTATCTAAAGAAATTTTAGATTAAAAGATTTAGGATAAATTACAAAAACCCCCGTACTATGGGGTCTATGACACAAACCCCTGTACTATGACCGTGAGACAAAGCCCCCCCTTAACCATTAAGTCAGATGACGGAATGCGTTAAATTATCAAAATACCCCACTAAACTTTTTTTATTTTCCTTTTTGCCCTTTTTTCTCTTAAAACCTATATTTAACCTATTATTTTCCCTTTCTTCTCTTCTTTTCCCCTCCCTCACCATCCTCTCTCATTATTTATCTCTCCCAACTCTCACCCAACGCCATGAAAAGGGATTCTCTGCTCATACCCTCCAAACCCAAGCCACGCGCTCTTCTGCTTATAGAGACACTCTAACCTCGAAAAGTGAGAGGTAGCATCATCATAGCCTACAAGAAACGGTGAGTTAAGGGGGAACCCAAATCAGAAACTACAAATTCAGTGAAGATTGCCGAGACAACTTATACGGCTCCTATTTTCTTAAAAGTTCGGAAGCCGTCCAAGGCATGATACACAGAATACCTAAATCGGGAAGGTGGAATGGGGCGTTTGCCAAATGCTGAACGAAACCAATGACATTTTAAAGGGAGATAATTTATAAGTTGCAATTACAACTTTAGTAAGATCATAGCACGACAAATGAAATCTATTAGTGCATAATTAACTAAAATAGGCATAAAGAAATGTTGAAATGAAAACAACGACGACGACGGTATTCACGAGGAACCCAAAACAGAGGATTATGCACATATGAAGCTACCTTGCATAGAAACAAAAGTTGAACTTTCAGAACTACGTGGCCCGGAGAAGCACACGGCTGTACACACACTTCTCGCCATATAAATGATAAATCTTGTCAGGGATCAGATTCTTTGACCGGAAATTCGCCAAAGAAGCTGCAGAGACGCCTCGTCTCCAAGCAAAGCCAGCTCTCTCCTTGCGCTCATTTCAGCAGGTGGCAGTGACTGTTGCTCACATATAGTTCTTAGCATTTCTTATACAGAGACAGGAAGAGGAACTTCAATAGAACGATCCGCCATCCGAAGAAAGCTGGTTTCAGAACCACGAGTGTACAAAAAAAGTCAGGATCGTAGAAGATTTGAAAAAGAAGGGTTCCCAAACAAGAAGAAAGGAAAAAACAAGACTGTGACACAGAGAGATATGATATTCTGAGCTCCGAGGCCAGAGCATGTGAGCAGTGAGCTCTCGACTTCCTCAACGTTCAACATGAATTGCAGCGGCGTCCCTCTTTTGAAGATGTCCTCCTCCACTTCCACCGCCGCCTCCGCCTTCAAACCCGTCACCGATTTCCACGGCGGCAGGTTCGTTTTCTTTTTCTATTTCAGCTCCTTCCCACAGTTGTCGCGACCTCTGTCATCGCCGAACCAGTTGTTGCCTCCCTCTGTACTTCCGCCGAATCAGTTGCTGCCCCGCTCTCGATGGGTTGGTGTTCACTAGAGCGAGTTCTCTTATGTCTTCCGCCCTGCTGGTACCGAGGAATAAGACCCGTAGAGGGAACGGAATTACAGAAACCAAACGGCAATAGGGTCGTTGCCACCGCTTCTGCACCTGCTCGGGTCCGAGACCGAGCGGGCTAGACACGATTCGGCGCTAGCTTTATATCACCTCGCACTCGTTCAGTGCAATTGCACCAAACTCGTGAAAATGAGTTCAATGGGTTCAATCCCGGGAAGGGGAAAAAGAGAGATCGGAAAGAGAGAGGGAGAGTGTGGTTGGGAAAGATGAACATTATTTTTCTCGTAAGTTATTACAAGGATAGTATGGGGATTAAAAAATATTATAACAGCCTTGACCGAAGACTAACGGAAGGGGCCTTTGCCTCATGGTCATAGTAGGGGGTTTTTGTCGCAAAACAAATTACAGGGGGGTCTTTGTAATTTACTCAAAAATTTAAGAATTATTTAAATACTTTAACAAAATTATATAATAACTTTAAAATATTTATTAAAAACATAAATAAATAATTTTATATTTTTGCAAAATATATCACAAAATTATGTACTAACAATTTGAATTATGTTTTTTTGGATTATCAAATATTTAATAATATGTAGTAGCTTTAAATAAATAAAATTCAAATAACAAAAAATAAATAAATATTTTATAGATTATTTAAATATTTAAGTAACTAAATATCTATCATAACTAGATTTTAAATAGTTAAGATAACGAAATTATGTAATAAATTTAAAAAATTTCTTCAAAGTAGAAAAATAATTATAAAATAATATTGAAATTAATAAAAGTTTAATATATTACAAAAATTAATAATGAAATAATGTAATAATAGTGAGAAATTTCCTTTTCTATATTAAAATTTATATTTAAAATATAAAATATTAATATATATCCATCGTTAAGTCATTCGGTTTTGGTCGAGTTACAAATGGCCAAAGTGAAACTGATCCAACTTGGTCGAATTGAGAAAATTTTGAACCAAAGCCGACCTAAAATACTAGAAAACCGACCAACTCGGGTCGAGTTAATCAAGTTGGTCGGTTTCATCAATTTGATGAATAAACCTAACTGAAATTAATTATTGTTATTTTTGTATAATAAAAAATTTATCAAAAGTAGTATATAAAATATGAATAATTATTAATTATTTTAAAAGTTGAAAATATAAAACAATTTTGTACTCTTATGTGTTTCCATTAGGGTCATTTATTAGAACAACCTTATAGTTTTACATATTTACTTAAACCTACCTTTATAGTTTTCATTTTACTAAAACATCCAATAGATTTTACAATTTATTTACTTAATCAACATATCATTGAGTGTTTGTTTTGCCATTAGGCCCATGTTTTTTTTCCAAAAACACCCTTACCACTTTTTTGTACAAAAAATAAAATTGGCCAAATATAGCGAATAGAGTGGTTGCCCGTGTCTTATTAAGGGCAAAAATGGTATTTTGATTTTGATTAAACTTATTTAAATGAACAATAGGGTCAACACTATCATTTTCCATAGTCATCTGATGGAAGATTGATTAAATCCATTGCAAATTATAAGCGGTGTTTTAGTAAAATGCTAACTATAGGGTAGATTTTAGTAAACCCATAAAATCATAAGGGGTATTTTAGTAAATGACCATTTCTATTATTTAGCTTTCACTTAATAAATACCGTGCATCGCATGGGTCCCCGCTAGTATTCACAAAAAACAAAACAATAAATTATTCAGTTCATCCATTTCAATTATTATCAAACAAATCCATGCCAATGACCTAGTATCCGAAATGATCAGTTGGTCTCCTAGCATTCCACCAAATACAGAGGCGTGGATCAAACCAACATAATTGTCCTCATCCCTTTGTTCCTTTGTAATTTTTTTTAGCTTGTCTCTCTATAATGTGTAATCAATCTATCTATCTATCTAATAATTAGGAAATTAGGTCGTTCTATCTATCTATCTAATAATTATAGACAATATTTTCAAAAAAAAAATACTTATTAGTAATAATTTTACAATAATAGTGTGTATTCATTATATATTTGAATATACTAAAATTCATATTTATTTTATTTTCAGTAATTATTTATTGTATTTTTTTATAAATATATTTTCAATAATTATTTATAAATATATTTTTATTTTATTACTTAATAGAAATTGCCAATCATTATTGGATATTAAACAATTACTATTTGATGGTGTGCAATCCGATCGGTCCTAGTTGTCAACGACCTTGCCTCTGACTGGAGCAACGGGTGCTTGAAACAGGGAAGAAGGCGAGGAGTCTCCGAGGAGGAACCCGGTGAAAGTGCTCCGAAGCTCAAGTTAGTATTTCCTCAACGGCAAGATAAAAAACCAGATGGCGCAAAGTTATCACATACTTCTCGTCTTGGGGGGAAGGGGGCCTTTTATAACCACTTCGCGCACTCACTCCCAAGCTCCTGTCAGGTCGGATATCATTACCTCTGCACTTCTGCTAGTTCGGGTGTCATCACCTCTGCTGGGGCAGAACCGCCACTGCTCTCCTTGTCGGAGCCGTCTCTGTAACTGGAGGTGGCGGTGGCAGGTGGCTGTTGAAGTGCGGCTGTCAAGCGTCTTATCCTAAGTCAGTTAGGTGCGCCGCCTCAGGATACGGACTCCTTTGGTGTCAGGTACGGTATGGTTGTTTAGTTCGGCGTCCTGGAGACGAAGTGTTGGAGTGGTGCGATGTGAAGTCTTGAGTTCAGATAGAGGTGTGGCCCGAACTGCCCTGGGACGGGCCAGTTCGGATAGAGGCGAAGTCTTGAGTTCGCCTCGTCGCGTTTTGACGACCTGATGGTGGGCTTGTACAGAAGGGGCTTTAAACTGAACCGGTGGATGATCTGGAATACGTACCCCGAGCTCGATATTAGCGCCATAACCACTTCGCGCAATACTCATGAGATGGCCAACGCTGCTTACGGTGAACCGGATTCTGAGGACGAGGCAGGACCTTCGGGTATCGTTGAAGTGCCTTCTGATGGTGAAGAAGTACCTCTGGGCCTGTGAGCTCGCTTCTGTTGTTTTTTTTTTTTTTGGAAATGTAAACAAAGTATTTTGCAATGGAATGACTCTTTTGGCTAAGTGTTGGTCACTCTTTCTTCCGAACTGACCGTATTGCCGATGTCCCTATTAGTTCGTTGTTAGTACTTTGCTTGCCCATGCCGAGGTCCTTGTTAGTTCGGCATTTTAGCCCTTAGGCTCTAGTAGCGACTTAGTCCACTTCACTTGGTGATCTATAGGTAGTATCGTCTCAAGTTAACGACGTTCCACGCTCGGTGTACTTGTTCGCCCTCTAAAGTTTCGAGCTCGTATGCCCCCATGAGCGCTCTATTTACTCGGTAGGGCCCTTCCCAATTCGGTCCAAGTTTGCCTACGCCGGGCTCGGGTGCCATGATCCTATGGAGAACCAGGTTGCCGACACGGAAGTTCCGCTTTTTTACTCTGGCATTGTAGTACCGTGCTACTCTTTGCTGGTAAGCTACGGTTCGAATGTATGCGAGGTCTCTTACCTCGTCTAGTAGGTCGAGGTTGGTACATAGCTCGTCTCCATTTGTCTGATCGTCATATGCTTCTAGTCGTAGTGTAGGTACTTCGATCTCCGCCGGGATTACCGCTTCAGTGCCGTAGGTGAGGTTAAAGGGGGTCTCTCCTGTGGCAGTTTTTTCCGTAGTTCGATGAGCCCATAGAACACTTGGTAGCTCATCCTCCCACAACTCTTTAGCTCGGTCTAGTCGCGCTTTCAGTCCGCGTAGGATAGCTCTGTTCATTACTTCTGTTTGAACGTTTGCTTGCGGGTGCGCGACCGATGTGAAGTTCTACCGAATCCCCATATCTTGGCACCATTCCTGAAACATGATGTCCTCGAACTGCTTGCCATTGTCGGAGATCAGTACCCGAGGTAACCCGAAGCGACATACTATATTCTTCCAAAAGAAGTCTGTACGTTTCGAGCTATAACTGTTGCAAGAGGTTCAGCTTCTATCCACTTTGTGAAGTAATCTACCACCACCACTAAGAACTTTCTCCCTCCTGTTGCTGGCGGGAATGGCCCCAGGAGGTTGATGCCCGATTGCGCAAAGGGCCATGGGCTGGTGAGATACTTGAGGTCGGCGGCAGGCTGATGGTGGATATTGGCATGCTTCTGACATTTGTCGCATTTTCTAACGAGCTCAACG